GTTTTTTTTATTTTTTTCATTTCCTTCATTTTATTATTTGCCCGCCTGTTTGCTGTTTACTATTTTTAAACTGCTGAGTCATCGCTATTCGAAACAATAATGTTAAAAAAAAGCTCGAAAGAGCATAGAGAGTAAGAGAGTAGAGGCACATGGATAGTTGCTAATATCTTAGGCGGAATCCAAAGGAGTTGCGTTGGAGCTTACGTTCTTGAGTTGGGCATTCAAATTATAACGTAAGTGGGTTACGTTGTAACGAAACAAAGACGGTCTCAATTTGGATTTTCATATTATTATTAAGCTCTTTTTTCTGCACATCATGAAACGTGTCACTGGCTTTAACGGTTATCTTTATGGTTTCCGTTATGTCTTGCGCTCAGTTCGTCGCTGATAACTCTCCTGCACCGTTACAGTGCACTATCGATATAGAGGGCCCATAAATACGAGCATTACTGCTACTCTTCACTGTTATCAGATAGTAGAATCTTATTTTGATCGGGCTGATAATGAATAAATGTATTTTATAGTTGTTAAAAGTTCATAAAACAGAGCGTTCATTGTAGGGAGATTGCCCCGTAATTAAATACGTGCTCATACAAAGTATCGCATTTTGTCAAGTCATCAATGTTTATGGTTTAAGCTTTGACCTTGCTCACAGAGGGTATAAATACACCAGAGCTGGCCCCAATCAGCTTACGAATTGATTTGTCTAATTAACTGCAGGCGCGCATTGATGCCGATTGCACATGGAGATTGTGTTTTTGGTTAGACCAGACAAAAAAAAATGTGCCCCTTGGGCGTGTCGCCTTTTCTCCATTTAGCCTGTGATTAGATATACTTGGGGCAGCAGATCTGACTCCTTGTTATCAGCAGGCGGGGCCAGAAAGATGTGGAAATGTGGCAAGGTATTTGCGAAAGAGCAAAACAGCACACACTTATTCCTTATCGCCCGATAAGATAAGTCCAGTGAAATATGGAAAATGACTGCACAGTTTTTAGTATTTCCACTCATTTCGAGCAGAGAAACTGAAACGCTAGTCGTAAATTTGTGCTGAATAATCGAAGCTGCGAGTGACTCAAGACGACGTGTCTTGCGATAAGGGCGATCCCTAATCAACTCCGTCTACTTGAAGTGGGTCAGCCGAAAAGCAGCAGCACCAGTAGGGTGCTAGGAAACTAGTTCGTTTTCGATCAACCGAGAGGATAACTTACATAAATATTGCATTCGTAGTGTAAATATTCCATCACACGATTATAGCAATTAAACAGATATGTGGTTCAATGGAAAACTTGTTAGTTAATAACACCTAAAGTATGCAATTGATTAATCGCTTAGGTAGCTTACTTTGAGTTATTAGGATCAGAAGTCTTTGGCTCGTTAAAGTGATTAGGGCATAAGATTGCTGATTCTATCATGTGCCCTACTAACTGACCCACTATCTTTCGTTACAGGCTTCTGTCGCATGGTTGACAACAGCACTAGCAACAACTCCTCGGTTCTGGGCTTGCCCAGCAGTGGACATGTCAGCAACGGCTCCGGTAGCTCGGCACAACTTGGGGCGGGAAATCCGCACGGTAACCAGGCCAACGGAGCGTCCGGCGGCGTGGGCCCAATGAGTGGCTCGGCTGTGGGCGCTGGAGCAACAGGAATGACCGCCGATCTCTTGGCCAGCGGCGGTGCAGGAGCACAAGGCGGTGCGGATCGCCTGGACGCGTCCAGCGACAGTGCTGTCAGTTCGATGGGTTCCGAGCGAGTGCCGTCCCTCTCCGACGGCGAGTGGGGTGAGGGCAGTGACTCCGCCCAGGATTACCATCAGGGCAAGTATGGTGGCCCCTATGACTTTAGCTACAACAACAATTCGCGGCTCAGCACCGCCACACGTCAGCCGCCGGTGGCACAGAAGAAACATCAGCTGTACGGCAAGAGGGATCCCCATAAGCAGGCGCCCTCGGCTCTGCCACCAACAGCTCCACCAGCAGCCGCGACTGCAGTCCAATCGCAGAGCATCAAGTATGAGTACGATGCTGGGTACGCCTCCTCGGGAATGGCCAGCGGTGGTATCAGTGAGCCAGGAGCGATGGGACCCGCTCTATCCAAGGACTATCATCACCAGGCTTACGGCATGGGAGCCAGCGGAAGCGCCTTTTCCGGCGACTATACAGTACGACCATCGCCCAGGTCTTCGCAGGATTTGGTGCAACTAAATCATACCTACTCGCTACCCCAGGGAAGTGGATCCCTTCCCAGACCCCAGGCTCGCGATAAGAAGCCTCTGGTGGCCACTAAAACCGCTTCAAAGGGTTCGAGTGCCGGCAACAGCAGCAGTGTCGGCGGCAACAGCACCATGGAGGAAGAGCATCTGACACGCGATGAAAAGCGCGCCCGATCCCTGAACATACCCATTTCGGTGCAGGACATCATCAACCTGCCCATGGACGAGTTCAACGAGCGCTTGTCCAAGTACGACCTTAGCGAGAACCAGTTGTCGCTGATTCGCGACATTCGTCGGCGTGGAAAGAATAAGGTCGCTGCCCAGAACTGCAGGAAACGCAAACTGGACCAGATCCTGACCCTCGAGGACGAGGTGAACGCGGTGGTTAAGCGCAAGACCCAACTCAATCAGGACCGGGAACATTTCGAGAGCGAACGCAAGCGCATTTCGAACAAGTTTGCCATGCTGCATCGTCATGTCTTCCAGGTAGGTGTCACTCAAATGCAGAATTGCATAGAATTGATTTTAATAAACTAACTAATTTCTTTATCTTGCAGTACCTACGGGATCCCGAAGGAAATCCCTGCTCGCCGGCGGACTACAGTCTGCAGCAGGCTGCCGATGGCTCCGTCTACTTGCTACCACGGGAGAAGTCCGAGGGCAACAATTCGGCTACGGCTGCATCCAATGCTGTTTCGTCGGCCAGTGGAGGAAGTCTGAATGGCCACGTGCCCACTCAGGCGCCCATGCACAGCCATCAGAGTCACGGAATGCAGGCGCAACATGTGGTCGGAGGTATGCCGCAGCAGCAGCAGCAACAGCAGCAGTCGAGGTTGCCTCCACACCTGCAACAGCAGCAACAGCAGCAGCAGCAGCATCATCTGCAGTCGCAGCAACAGCAGCCGGGAGGTCAGCAGCAGCAGCAGCACCGCAAGGAATGAAAGTACCTGTTGCGAATTGCCGCAACTAAGAGTTGGTTCACTAGTTTCCAGCGCGGGCAACAGCATCGATCCGAGCAGCAGCAACAGCAACAGTTTAATTACCGCTACGACATGTTGAACAACAGTTATCTGTACTACTGAGCGGCGATTTGGATATTTTACTTCCTGCATTAGATGCCACATGTTGCTGGCAACATTTGATGCACCTGCTGCTTTCGGCCCATTGGAGCTCTTTCATTTATCGCACCAATCCTCCCATTAATGGTTTACTTACTCATTTAGTCAGCATGATTGTTATTTATTTTTTAATTAATTGATTATTTGGACTCGTCCAAGTCCGTCTTGCGAGCTGTTGTCCCTTCTGGACAGCGCATGCGAAGCCTTTTACTTAATTGCAATTACTGAAAACCATACTTGTGATAAAACAGCTCTTTAACTCAAAAAATCTTTGCGCCGCGAAGCGCAAGCTGACAGAAAAGTACACAGAAACAGATCCGAAAAGAATGTAATTAAATATGCTTCAGATGAATTTGTAAATCAGTAAACAACTCACATTCACAACCAATCCCACTCATCCATTTATATTCAACGCGTCGTCCAACAATATTTGATGGTGAAACCGCTTACATCTCTATAATATTAGCTTGTAAAAAATGAAAACACACAGATGGATGAAGAGAAAAAAAATGTATAAAATAGACGATAGGATCACACACACAAAAACAAAAACGATTGTAAAGGTTGGAAATATTGCTGGACATTTCATGAATTAAGGGGGGTAAGACACTTACTTGTAAGCTATCATCTAGTGAGAGATCTACCACAGCGGTAATTATTTGTAAATCGTTCTAAACTCATAAGGCATTTATAAAAATCCCATACACAAAGAATAACACAAATTAGCCTATCACTTCGATCTAGCCACATAGCAACTGTAAATACATAATTTAAACTTAGCTAACATTTAACCAACCAGCGCTAGGCTACAGCAACTAAGAGTGTGCTAACACACCACAAAGAAACTAAAGAAAATACTAAAAAAAAAAAGGAAAGGAACGAAACGAAAAATTTAAACAAAAATAATGGCTCGTGCTAGAGCAACCCGTCAACTGTCTTTGGAACGGTCTAGTAGATAAGCGATTAAGAGATATTAATATTTAATATTCTTAAACATGTCCTACAGCATAACGAGTTTAACTTTAAACTAAGCTACAGCAACAGATACAGTTACGATATCAACTTAAACAAATCCGATACGAAAACAAAACATAGATCTATTGTTAATATAGGCGTATGTATTTTAATTGTTGTAATGAATTTCGCGCACATTTGGAAGTCGATTGTTGCAAGTCGAAGTCGAAAACTACGAAATTCAATAAAAATGCGCAACTTTAATAAAACGATTATTTGTTGTAAATGGAAATTGAACTAATTACCTACTATTGTACTACTACGCCTACGGACATAAAAAATACGTAAAGAGAACCCCTTCGCATATTCTATTAACATAAATTTTGGTAGGAGCAGTGTTTAGACAACAACAATGTCCTTGATGCGCTATCAAGAGCTTCCAAGGATCTCTGAGCACCTTTGACCAATCCCAATCCCTGTACTTGTATGTCGCTATATATTTGTGTATGTTTCATATGAGAAATTTGTATGCTTTAAAAATGATAAACTTCTCCTCAGCATAACAAAGAACGTCAAAATTAAAGAAAAACCACTACAAAAATATATCAACTGACTTTTATTATCCTTTTTTGAGGACACATCCAAAGATCATAGAACTATGATCTGGAATTGACTCACTGTACCGAGTAAACCGAGTATCCCAAATAAAACGCATCGGTTAGTTTCTTTTCTTTCCATCTTATGGTATATTCACCGTCTTTCATTTTCACAATCTGGGCGAAGCTTAAGAATAAAATTCATATATCAATCACTCACATACTCATACAATTTTATTGTCCACTCATTATGATAATTGAAGCTCTTGTTTTTGAAACAGTGTGTTGATTAAAAATGTACATTTTCTATCTCACTGAAGTGAGTAATATTAAACAATAATCTGGTTAAAGGGAATTTTCAATTCCGCTGCGTCTTCGCATAAATTTCATGATCAGTGAGCCGTTTAAGGATTTCTCTAGTTGTCTAAGTTGCAGCATTTTGGTTTCTGGGTCTCACATCTTACTTCGCGTTAATATCAATTTGTAACTTAACTATAGTAAATTCAACACAGTAAAGCTAACAACGTGCATCTTCCATTCATCAGCTTAGCCTAGACATATACAATCGTTTCAGGGTTAGTAGTAAGTAGGTAGGTGGCTAACAATCAGATTGCCTCCACTTCAGCAGGAAAGGGCGGGGATTTTGAGGGGTGTTCACAGCTGCAGCAGCTCTATGGCTATGACAGATGAGCTCTCCATGGAATTTCCTTAGCTTAGTTTGAGTTAGAGTTATGTATTATGTATATTGGGAGCCTATGCTTAACTAGAATACAACATCAGTTAACTGACGGACAGGGCAGGGAGCCACTCAATTAATAATATCAACAAATGGAATCGATGGGCAGCTGATCCTGCTTGATGCTTAGACGGCGGGGATTCGACTTGTGTCTGCCGCCGCCGCCGCCTCCGCCACCTCCACCACCGCCGGCCACAATGGAGATGCCTCCTCCGGGTCCGCTGGCAGCACTTCCTCCTCCGGTCAGCGTGCTTAGGCTATTGTTATTGCTGTAGTTGCTGCTGTTTATGGAATTGCCGGAGTTGGTCTTCTCGTTAATACTGGATAGGTTGGGGATGCTGGGCGCCGTCGTCGTGATGGTCAGGCCGCCCATGGTGAACGAAGCGCCGTGCTTGTTGTTGTTCAGCGGCTCCAGCTCGCTAGCCAGCACGCCGTTGGGTATGGAATGGGAGCGTATCTGCAGGCGGCCGGAGTCCAGCGATTCGTCGCTCGCCGGATCCAGATGATCCACCGAGGCGGCGGAGGCAATGCGCTGGAACAGGCTGGCCGAGAGCGTGCGATCCGCAAAGGGTGCATTCACACACTTGGCGCTTCTCGTGTACTCCGACTTGAGCTCGTCCAGCTGCTTGGCGCTGCACAGCGGCGTGTCCACGTCGTAGGTGTTGTTGAATAGCGTGTAGTCCACCTCGTACTCGCCCGTCTCCTTGCGGAAGGACACCACATTCACGAAGCGATGGCCCCACAGCACCTCCGAGGGCAAGTAGCTGCTCCTGGCCTGCGTGGTCATGCCGGTGGACTCGATGACGCCCTCTGAAATCGCAAAGCTATTAGTTTACATTTCTGGAAAGGTGTGAATATTATGAAACTTACCCAGCATGACCACCACTTCGAAGCGTTCCTTCAGCATATCCGAGGCGGACAGCATGTACAGCGGACTGTTCCTATCAATCTTGTGCACTATGGTGGTGGGCCAGATGAACATCAGCCGATCCTCACCACCATCGGCTCCGATGTGCAGCTCCTGCTGGTAGAAGGGCAGCACCTCGCCCTCCTTCGTCACCTTCTTGCGGATTATCTGGGCCCGCACATGAGCCTCGATGATGTGCGACTTGCGCATGTCACCCACACGGAACATCAGACATGGCACTCCATCCCGGTGGCAGATGACAGCATTGCGGGAGAAGAGCAGCGTCTGGGCACGCTTCTTGGGGCGCGACAGCTTGGCAAACACAATGCCCACCATGAACGCCTGGATGAAGACACCCGTGATGCACTGGATGCACATGGTGAATATCGCCTCCGGACACTCCTCGGTCACATAGCGATTGCCGTAGCCAATCGTCGTCTGGGTTTCCACGGAGTACAGGAAGGCGGACATCATATTGGAGACCTGCGTTACGCAGACCGTGTGCGTCATGTTGGCCACCAGATCGGGTGACTGGTTCTTGAGATTGGTGTACTCCAGATCGTTGTGCGCGTAGGCGATGATCCACCAGATGAATCCAAAGAAGGCCCACGAGAATACGAAGCTGGCGGCGAAGACGAGCAGCGTCCAGCGCCACTGGGCGTCCACCAGGGTGGTGAAGATGTCCTGCAAAGGAACAACAAAGTTAAAGGTTAGTATGACACTCATAGACTGGCATGTCCCATAAATTCTTTGAATGCTTTCGACATGCGTTTACTTTTGGAGTTCCGCGTGAGGAGCACAAATCAATTTACATAATTGCCGCCAAAGTCGCGCGGCGACCGGCGTTATGCAAACCCGCCAAGGAAGCCTAAATATAGCCCAAGTGGGCCGTCAACCATGTGGATCCCGCCCCCATCATCGCTCACCTGCAGATAGCGACGCCGCCTCTTGGCCACATTTCCCTGCACAACGTTGCACTCGCCGTGCTTGAAGACCACACGTTTTCGAACACGCCGCGAACTGAAGCGTGTCTGCCGGTACCTGAAACGGAACAACACATGTAGATTGACACATTAGTGTGGCACAGAAATAGATGGCTGCGATTTATTGGGTAAGCCTTCGATTGGGGATTTCACTTTCAAGTGCGGCGGATGGCTCTTATCTACGCGGAGGCGTTTACACAATCGCGTATCTAGTCTATTTCCACTTATTTGGGGAAGAAATCCTTATCGGGCACCAGCTCTTAGGCTTAAGTATTCAATTGCAGCCTTGGCAGAGCTTGGTTTGCTAGAAGGTATTCCATATAATACGATAGCACTCGCAGTTTATAGGACTTATTTGCAATGGAGTAGCTATACATTTCCACCCACCATTCTATAATAGGAATGAATAATAATATACAACCTTGGATGGTTCAATTGTGGAACACACCCTCCTTAACAATAAGAAGAACTGAACTGAACGGGGTACAATGCACACGCATATCAGACGATTGTAGCTGCTCTTTGTTCGGATGGATAAAAGATGGCAACAACAGGAAGTCGGAAGACAAAAACCACCGAGGCCTGTCTCCCCCGATAATACCAATATATGGTTATCAGTAGTGCGAGGTATTAATCGAGTATCTATCCCACTTATTTACCAAATCATAGCATGGAGCAGTATGCTCGAGAAGCACACCACAAACACCAGACCGACAAGGAAGAGCAAGAGGAGCATTTGGCGATTATCAATTGATGAGATTTCGGGCACCAGGGCTGCGCATCCAGCTCGATCACTCTTAATACCCTGTAATTTTCGCAGGTTTACTTAGTTATAACCATGGAAAATTTGGGGATTTTGGGCAGCAGTTGCTGATACTACGAGTACCAGGTATTCACTAGACAGAGCACTTTCGGTTCATAAGTTGCTGATACCGCGAGCACCAGGGATCCACTGGATCGGCATGGAAGATTATGAAGAGACCGTAGTCGAATTAGCACTGAAGTGGACCATTTGGCGAGCTCTGGAACGGCAGTAACTGTAATTTGTAGTAATCGCCAACTGCAAGCAGCTGACTTTTGCAGTGTGCGTTTCACTTTGCTTTACTTTGATATTTACATGTCCATTTATATTTCGTACTCATTTCATTTACTCGGTTTATCAGCGCGCTCTGCTTTGTGCACTGAAATCCAGAGTATGGTTACATATACTTGTGCAAAAGTCCACACACTCTTTGGGGAACTGAGCTTTAAAGCGATTGTCTGTTGTTCCAAGTGGAGCTTGAGTAGATCAGAGGAGGTGGAATCCATGAAATTCCAGGGTGAGAGGTGGTGATAAGGAGGAACTAATGGCACGATGGAATCGGAAACTAATTGAGCCGCTTGCGACGAATGGTTTCGGAATGGCTATTTGTTTGCCATCTATCATTACCAATATGTATTTAGCTACGCTTCTTGTTTCCATAGCATAACTTATAATTGCATTTAAATCGAATTTTTATTTTGAAATATAAAAACCTAAACAGTTGCTATATGGCGGAGATAGGTGAACATAAGTGGTTTTTTATATATGGTCATAACAAATATTATGGCCACATTTCATTTCATAAACATAACTCATAAATATGTCAAAGCACCAGTGCTTACGGTTAGCTGATAGGTAATATTATTTTTCCATCGTTGATAAGGAATCGAACTGAATCATTTGAATAGTCGCTGCTGGCCAATAACAAACATAATCGCTGAACAAGAGTACTGTGTACATAATTAATACTTGTTGTTTTGAGTGCGGTAGATTGCTTAAAAGTTCGATTAAAGTCGAAAACCGTTGTTGTGATGCGTCATGGAGATGTGAGTGATTTAACGTGTACTACACGTACAACCTCATTAAAAATAAATGAAATCGATAAAACATAAATGTGAGAGAAATTCTCAGAACAATGATAGCCGCCAAGTGAAACTCAGCCGAAATTCGTAGAAATCTCCGGGCGACAGCGGTGCCATTAGAGTTCGTTAGTTTAAATCTGGTGTTTTGCTCATGCAAATAAACCGGCTCACGCCGAGTGCCCCATTGTTATTGTTATTATTTTGTTTATAATCGCTTCGATTTTTGTGATTTTTCTGAGACTTTTTTTGGTTTGCCAAATGCAATAACCGGTTGACGACAAAGGGGTGAAGTGTAAAACAAGTTCAATGGAACAGGCGACACATATATCTACGTGAACTAATGCGTCAACTCTCTCATGATATCAGCACATTTAAGATTTCCGAGATAGGGAAGTGAGTGGGAAAACGACGAGCCAACAAAGTCGTATTCTAACCAACCGGAGGCCAGATAAGCGCTCCTTGGGTTATGGCCTGCAATTAAAGCCCAGCCTGTGAGCTAATCGAGGCAATTGAAACCAAACCGCACAAACAAAAACAGAACTAACCTTGGACAAGATGAACCCCGGCGAAAGGCGGAGGACTGGAGGTGATGCCCTTTTAGTTGCTTGAATAGCATCTCAAATAGTGCTGGCTAATGGCCAACAAATTGCTTGAGGGACTAATGCAATTGGGCCATCTGCTAATGCAAGTTTGTCGAGTATATCGAAGGTGCAAATAAGTTGACCATGGTCATGATCATAATCGAAACCGATTTGCTGAGCTCGTAGCAACAGCCACTGACGTCATTGATCTGGCCAGATCCATTTTACGGCCCAGAGGAAATGCACTCTGTGGAGTGCTTTAGGTATATAATATATGCGCTATAAAGTGCATACAGACTGGCTGCAGTTGCTATCCATAAATCAAACTGAGACAGCCAGACAAGTTTACAGCACGTTTCGTAATAAAAAGGCGTGTGGAAAACAAACTAATTCCGGAAGCCCCAACAACCTTAACTAATGATGATTCAATTTTCCACCTAATCTATTTAATGCCTTACGTACGATAACATGGATACAGTTTATTTAACAATGATTTACCTTTACAAAACGTACTGTAGCTGCACTTCTGCCGAATCTTTTGCCTTGCCAAATTTCAAATGGCAAAAGTGAAAAGAATAATTATGAATTTGCATAGATATGTACATAAGATGTCAACAGACAATTTGGACACTCGGCGAATTCGTGAACATTGCTCACCAAAGGGGAAAAACAAAGGATTTGTGGCGCACAACATCCTTTCGCGTTCTTTATATGAACTCTGATCAAAAATGATTATATATAGAACGGATATTATACATTAGCAGAGGTTGCTGTGTGCCGCGAAACGAATGGAAACGCCTTTCATGCAAATATTTATGCCGCATTCGATTAAACATTATAGATCCGATTGCGCAGATGCATACATAGTATAGATACATGTGTATTTATGTGCAGCTGTACTGCTGAACTTTTGTTCAGCTGTTTAAATAACCTTCAAGGGTGACTACGTAAGCCATTATAAAACCAAGTAGAGTTATGGAATGCGATCTGTAGACTGCATAGGTTTCTGTGGAACCGGTGTGCTGACCGGATTGCACCGGAATACAGATACAGAATAATTAAACATTAATCAATTAACACCTATAGCTGTGCCACAAGCCACTTCACCCTGTAATACTGTCAACTTTGAAGAGCCAATCACCAATGATCTATAAGAGTTGCCTAATTTCACGCCCACTTTGATAAACACTCCTAAGCAGCTAAATGATCATCTTCCCAAATGCAGATGATGCGATGATCGATCTTGGCCAACTGGGGTTTACCTGAGCAGCTCCTCCCGCCACGACTGCTCGCTGGAATGGGTGGCTCTGTAGACGATCATGGAGAGTCGACTTAAACTGCGACGCAGCTCGGACATTTTGGGCGCTTTTGGTGGATGATGGATTGTCCTGGGATTGCGAGACTTGTTCGTGCGAACGAGTCAATACTGTTGTTGGTTGCAGCCAATCGAGTTTTTTGCTGTTCCCTGCTGTTCTTTTCAGCAAATATACAAAATAAACACAATCAAGAGTTGTCTCTTGCTCTAGTTTGTCATTGTTATAAAAATAAAGCACAGGCAGTGTTTCAGCAGCAGACGACGACGAGCCGAACAGGTCAGTAAATCACAGAAGCGAGATCTCAGCATTTCGAGGGAGTTGCAAAGATCTCGTTTGTCAAACTTTCAAATTGCGCCACTTTTCGGCCGGCTAATTAACTTGTATGCCGCGTAGAATTTCACGCCTTTTGTGCCATTTGTGTGAATTTGTTGAATAGTTCTTTTATTTTTTTGGTTTAACGTTTTGTATCGGTTGTGTGAACTGTGCGATCGAACAACTTTTTGCCAACTGCTCGACGAGCAAATTGAAATTCGCCCTCGTCGCTGCAAACAAAATTCAGTGTTGATATTAGTACCGCCCCCCTGGCCCCCTCATCAATATATGTACAATGCTCTACGCTCACTGACAGCGGATTGTATTTTTGTTGTTGGACTGCCGCCTCATTTACTCATTTCACCTAATTACACATGCATGTACGAGTACGTCTGGTGCTATACACAGTTGGAATGCCAGTTCCTATTTATCAGATACCCCGCACAAACACACCCACACGTGGCTATCTGTTTGCCTCATTAACGGTGTTTGCCCGCGATTGACACATGCCCCACCTGATGGATCCCAATTGATCACATATCGCATTATGCCCATATATATAATATGCGCTATAATATAAAACGATTCTAGTATTGTGCGTCAATTCAACGATATGAAATTGTTTTTCTTAGTTGGCGATTTAATTTGGAAACGCAGAAGCGAAGGATCACCAGTGCCAGATATATATGCCATATAGCATATGCTCCGACTTATCCCCCATGAACCGGTTCGTTCTGCCAGCGGCTCGCACTTTGCTCGTTCGAAAATAGCCAGAATTTCCCGCATGGGAAATACCAATAGAGATCGTTCGAAAGTTGAATGAACCAATTTTGGGTTGCAGCGGCTCGCTCTCTGCTTGGAGTTGGTCCGCCATCTCGAGTGCCCACTGTCACCTATCTAATCTCAGCCGAAAAATATACAAGTAAACAAACAGATTGCTGATCGAAACGGAAAGAACCCGTCTG